TAATCTATTATGTTCTGCTCTTGCTTCCTGTGGCGTCTGCCCGTTCGTTTAGAAAATGCTTGAACGGGGGGAGAGATAGGGTTAAAAATATAGACCAATAGGAAAGCCGGAGGCGGAGCCTACCTGTGTATAAAAGGTTTGAGTTAGTTGTTGGGAGTTGTTGGTGGTTGGTTGGTTGGGAAAGGCAGTTGGAGAAGCAGTTGGCAGGCAGTTGGAAATAGAGAGACAGTTAGGGCGGTGGGTTCTTGAGTGAGGGGACGTAGAAGAGATAGAGAGAGGAAAATAAGACTAAGAAAGTAAAGAGTAACAACGTTTGGAATGCCGTAAAAATTTGTTTGTGTCTGAAATAAAACACACTCTTCTTTATTAATTGAGAACCTGACTGAGGCTGAAGTGATTTTACCGGGGAGGACCTGGTTGGTGGCAGCAGATTAGTGGTGTACGGGTCAATAGTCCATGAGACGACCGGGGGCTCCGTATGAACGTCACACTTCCATTCACCATTCACCTGAAGCAAAGACAGTGCTGTCCCTAAGGTATGGCAAACTGGGGCAATGGCCTCAGGCCCTGTGATCTGGCGGGGGGGGGGCACACAGGCCAGGCAATAGGCATTGCGCCACTCAAGGTGGGTGTCATCACCACCACTCCTCCTCTCCTCATTGGGATGTTGGAAAAACTCCTGCAAAAATGGAAACAGGAGTGGAAATTGCTGGTGTTCACAAATTTGTTCCATGTCCAGGACAAAGATCAATCTAGTGAATAAGATAGCTACTTGCTGTTGTTGATACAGAATAGATTACCCACCCCCACTGACATTGTTTCCTTTGTATTGAAGTAGAAAGGGTGGAACAGCGAAACAACAATATTGTTTGCAAAATTAATTATGTAAGTTACATAATTTTGCCACAACAGAGAACAAGACAAACAACATAGGCTTGGGCAGAAGACAACTTGCACATGAACAGAAGCAGTGCAGCATGGGACACACACACACACACACACACACACACGTGTGCAATGGGAAAGGATGCCTAAGACTCTTGCAGCAAAAAGGGGGGAATTTGAGCTTCCTTAAGCACCTAGCCTACAAGAGATAATGACTGCCTTTACTCATGTCTCATGAGCTACTGTATCCAGTCAGAACATGAAAATATGCTGTCCTCAGCAGCTTAATTGAGAAAGAAGCTCCTTCCTCTGTATCCAGCATGAAAACACTTGGTCAAACATGCAGCTTGCCTGGGACTAAGATAAGATGCTCTCCTTATGAGAGCCAGGGGGTCAGGGAAAAGGCTTGTTTAGCAATATTAACATTTACAAGATTAAGTAAGCACACGTCTTGTTTGCACCGTCAGTGACAGCCTGTTTAAAGAGCCAAGCCAAAAACCAATTATACTCCCTGACATTCCAGCTTGGCTCCTTCTATTGACCTGTTTAAAACCTTATCTTTTCACTCTGGCATGCTCAAACCCATCTCCCTGCTGTTATAAGAATTTTAAGGTCATATATATATATATATACATGAGATAAATGTTCATAAATGTACCAATGATGTCTGGAGCAGCACAAGAAGACCTTCCTGAAACCATTTGGACTCCCTGAAACCATTTTGACTCCCAAACTGACCAAATGTTTTCTCTGCAAGGAGGGAGGGGGTGGGGGAACTTTCCCATTGTCTCAGGAAGTGGGTGATCACCATTTCAGAGGAATGGGCAGACTACCAGGAGAGGCAATCAGATAAGGCATTATCAGAAAACCAGCCAAACAGGACAAACAACAGCACTCAAATTTCTGTTGTAGACCACCTTTTCGGTGATGTAGGTATGATGTTTGTGGGGGGTGGTCTTGGATTACACCCCTTCTGTGATGTATGTATGATGTATGGAGGGGTGGTCTTGAGCTCCAGGGCAGGGAATTTAAAATATCTATATAAGAGCAGGCACATTGTTGTTCTAGGTCCTCCTCCTTTCCTACGGGTAAGCAGAGCACCCTGTTGCAACAGATCAATAAAGATCAGGCTTACTAGCTGCTTTGCTTCTCAATATTCTCTGGTTGGCCTCTGTTATTTTCTCCTACCAATAGGGAACCTATGTAAGGACTCTATATGGGCTCTTGGATACTCCATAAGGGAAGAAGGGCAGATTTTGTTTACAACACTGCTCTGCCTTTTTCCTTTACCCCCCATTCCCTTGCATGTCCACTTATAACTAGATGTTATCCCAGTGCACAGATCATTCAGATCCCCAATTTCTTGAGATAAAGGGAAGATGGGAGCAGTTGCTTAAACCACAGGAAACTCTTACGCAAATTCAGGCCACTGGCCCACCAAGCTCAGTGCTGTCTTTGGTGACTGACAGCCTCTCTCCAGGATTTTGGACAAGCGACCTTCCCAGCCCTACCCGGAGGTTGAATCTGGGACCTTGTGCAAGCAAAGCAGCTCATCCACCACTGAGCTGTGGTGATTCCCCCAAAGGGGAAGTAAACAGACCCCTCCCAGGTCTGGATATTCTTGTATGCAAATGCCCCACTCACTAGGGACATTTTGCCCACTTCCTGTAAGCCTAGATTTTGGAGGGATGAATTTACTCCCACTGCTCCTGCTTGTAAATTCTCCCCTGTAAGTATGCCCCATATGAGGGAAACACAAACAGCACTGAGGCATTTTGAGAGAGGATTGATCTGCACAGACAAGTCCTGCCCTGAACATCTTCATTAACTGTAGTCTCAAATCTTCATGCATTGGGCAGACATTATGAAGGAGTATTTTCCATGCATTCTGCTGAACGCACTAAGAACCCACCTTCAGATTTTCCTGTTCAGGGCTCTTTATCCCTGCTGTATGAAGGTGCAAACAGGGCTATGGGGGGATAGGAATACAGTGGTCTCTCGGGTTAAGAACTTAATTCGTTCTGGAGGTCCGTTCTTAACCTGAAACTGTTCTTAACCTGAGGTACCACTTTAGCTAATGGGGCCTCCCGCTGCCGCCATGCCGCTGCCATGTGATTTCTCTTCTCATCCTGAAGCAAAGTTCTTAACCTGAGGTACTATTTCTGGGTTAGTGGAGTCTGTAACCTGAAGCATATGTAAACTGAAGCGTCTGTAACCTGAGGTAGTACTGTATCTAGTTATACCCATAGAATCTAAGCATGAGGACACGGGATGGGCCCCCATCTTGTAAAACAGATGGATCTAGTTTTCTTAGGGGCATTAGAAATCTAGCTTGCATAGGGACATTAGAAATAATGATTATTTCCCCAGGCAATTTCACTCAGAATATTCCTTCTTAAGGGGGAAAGTAATCTTTCAAATAAAGATTGTGCAAGTAGTACAGAAACAACGCACTTACTCCAGAACAACCCCTGCAGAGATGGGTAACACTGCTTGCCTTTGTTCATAGGAAAGTGGTTTATTCTGAAGCAACTGCAGTATGGAGGAAGTGGGCAGAAAGGCAGAGAGACGTTTTTCTCCCTTTCTTGTAAGGCTAAAAAGCCTGGAGTCCTCCAGGACAGAAGAGTGAGGAGGACTGACAAATGGAAGTACGTTTTCATACAGCACAGAGTTAAAAACAATGGAATGCGCTACCACTAAATATAATGGCCACCAATTTATATGGCTTTTACTGGGGATTAGATATTTGTGAAGATAAAGTATTGAAATGCTACTAAATCATCATTGCTATATGCTACCACCAGGTTCAGAAGAACCAGTGCCAGATGATCAAGCCATAGCTTAGGGCCCCACTCTTTTGGGGGCCCCCCAAAAAATTAAAGGGGAAAAAACCTGGGTATACATTTCCAAAATATAAGATAAAAAACAAATAAAATAAAACCTACATACAGCAACAGTGGCAAATGGCTTTAGATACCTATTAGGTCCATAAATTACCATATAGCATATATTCAACACAAAAAACAGTGACAATTTGTTGTTGACAAAGGACAACTGGACATATAAAGAGCCCTATTACCTTCAGTAGCTTAGGGCCTCATCAAACCTAAATCTGGTCCTGAGAAGAACTATGCCTCTGAGTAGCTGTTGCTGGGGGAACATGATCAGGAGAGTCCTATTGCACCCATATCCTGCTTAAGGGCTTCCTAAAGGCATCTGATTTGGCCACTTGAGGGAAAACGGGATGCTGGACAAAGTAAGCCTTTGGTCTAATCTGCCAGGGTTCTTCTTATGTTCTTAACCTTGTTTCCAGAGAATTTCTTACCATTCAAAATGCCTTGCTCCATCTTTGTCACTTCCATATCAAGATCTTGCTCACTCGATATATTTGACGATTCTGTATGTAAACACAGAAACAAAAGACTGTTAAGCAGAAAATAAGTATCCCTCATTCTTCCAAGCCACATTCAGGATAAGGGACGGATTACACGTCTGAAGAAATTAGTGTGTCTGTGTTTGAATATCAGTGACACCCTCCCTTTCCCAACCAAAACTAGGGGGCTGCGATATTCCAGAATGTGCTAAGAGGGGAAGGTTCAGTTGGGGAATGTTTAACTATTGAGCTACTGTGAGGAAAGCAAAAAATATGTTTTGATAGAAAGGAACCTTGGGGTTTAGGCTTTGTTTTTCAGGATAGTTGGAGAGGTAGAAAAAGCAGATGGGCAAAAGCTTAAGCAGGCCCTAGGGTAATGAGGAGCTCCACATCATTCATCACAAAGCATGTTAAGAAACTGAGGGGTGCGTGAGTGCTTTTTCATAGGATGAATCAGAATAAATGCTGTTCCTTGTTGCACTATAAACCAGTATTGTATGTGGACCAAATGGTCTGAGAAGCTTCAGTATTTTCATTTTGCGTGGCGAGTTCCCGCCCCCCACCAGGATAAATAAAGACACGAGACGCCATAGCTTAAGGTTAAATGGGCGAATTAGGCCACAACTTTATTGAATTCAGGAATGAGAGGCATTGGCTTAGGCATTGGTCCTAACGACTATCCGGCTCCAGCCCATTTGCTGGAGACAAGGGACGGGTTAACACTATATCGGGGGAGTCTCCTGCCAAGGCACGTCGACTAGGAGATCCCCCGGGTCACCGCTCGGGGGCGTGCCTTTGGCCCACACCTCCATAGGCTTCGGACAGGGCCACGCCCCCCGGAGTCCTTTAACGGACCACCCTTCGCTCACTGGGGGGAGGTGATGGCGTTCCTCCCCCCTACACACATCCTCTTAACCCCTTCTTACCAATGCCTACCGCCACACGAGCAATCGCTCGCCGCCAATACTCTCATGCCTGAAACCAATCCCTTACACCCATTGCTATATCAGTCAGCCACATGTCATTTCCCGCATCTGAAAGATGCACGCCATCAAGCCAAATAACATTTCCCGCATCCGAAAGATGCACGCCATCAAGCCGGTAGAGGGCCTCACAGTTGCCCGGGTGGTCAATGACCCACCCACCCAGGGCTGCCACTCTACGCACCACCGCCCGATCCAAGGCTTTCCTAGCCCTATTTGTGGCTATCGGGCACCTGCTCTTTCTCCAAACCCGGCTTTCCATCAACAAGGCCCAAAGAATGGTGATGTTTGGATAAGAGGCCTTAAGTTCCTCAAAGTCACTAAAGAGATGCCACATCAAGTCAACTGCCTTTCTGTAAGCTAAATCCTTTTCGCCAAACTGGATAACTAAAGCATCCGGGGGGCCCACCACTGCCGCTCTGGCCCTAATTGCGGGCAACAATCCGGCCCAGCGCATTCCCCTCCGAGAGATCCAAGACATATTGATGTAGTTAAGGTGCGGCCCGAGACCGGAATTGATGGCGCGGACCCTGGCCCAATGCACAATGCTGTGTCCGATTATCCAGATGCGCGCCCTCATAGCTCCTGCACCCTAGGGTCCCCGTTAACGGCATGGTTTCTATCCCAGTGGACAGTGCAGGGCCTATAATCCAAATGTGCACCACAACATCACCTGAAAGCAAAAGAAGGTAACGAAGCCAGGTCAAGTATACTGTGAACAATCACAAAGTCTTACGAATATATCCCTTAAATGCATCAGACTTTCACTGCCCCCAAGTCCTTCATCCTTTCAGCTGAGAGTCCCAAATGCAGCGCTGTGGTGACGGCCCCAATCCTAAAGGAGTTAGCCACGAATTCAGCTGAGGATAAACTGCAGGCAGCAATCTCCCTTCGCATAATGCGCGTGGACTGATGCCGTGCAAGGCGGGAGCTATCCAAGTGTATAAGGGATGGACCTGAGACGGATGGTCTCACGTACATGAAATGTTTAGCGTCCTTTACTGCTGATCGGTTCTGGAACATTGGTCATGCAGGGCTAACGGGATGGGAAAACGGGATGCTGGAAAGCAGGATGCTTGAGGGAAAACGGGATGCTGGACAAAGTAAGCCTTTGGTCTAATCTGCCAAGGGTTCTGCCAGGGTTCTTCTTATGTTCTTAACCTTGTTTCCAGAGAATTTCTTACCATTCAAAATGCCTTGCTCCATCTTTGTCACTTCCATATCAAGATCCTGCTCACTCGATATATTTGACGATTCTGTATGTAAACACAGAAACAAAAGACTGTTAAGCAGAAAATAAGTATCCCTCATTCTTCCAAGCCACATTCAGGATAAGGGACGGATTACACGTCTGAAGAAATTAGTGTGTCTGTGTTTGAATATCAGTGACACCCTCCCTTTCCCAACCAAAACTAGGGGGCTGCGATATTCCAGAATGTGCTAAGAGGGGAAGGTTCAGTTGGGGAATGTTTAACTATTGAGCTACTGTGAGGAAAGCAAAAAATATGTTTTGATAGAAAGGAACCTTGGGGTTTAGGCTTTGTTTTTCAGGATAGTTGGAGAGGTAGAAAAAGCAGATGGGCAAAAGCTTAAGCAGGCCCTAGGGTAATGAGGAGCTCCACATCATTCATCACAAAGCATGTTAAGAAACTGAGGGGTGCGTGAGTGCTTTTTCATAGGATGAATCAGAATAAATGCTGTTCCTTGTTGCACTATAAACCAGTATTGTATGTGGACCAAATGGTCTGAGAAGCTTCAGTATTTTCATTTTGCGTGGCGAGTTCCCGCCCCCCACCAGGATAAATAAAGACACGAGACGCCATAGCTTAAGGTTAAATGGGCGAATTAGGCCACAACTTTATTGAATTCAGGAATGAGAGGCATTGGCTTAGGCATTGGTCCTAACGACTATCCGGCTCCAGCCCATTTGCTGGAGACACGGGGAAGGGTTAACACTATATCGGGGGAGTCTCCTGCCAAGGCACGTCGACTAGGAGCTCCCCCGGGTCACCGCTCGGGGGCATGCCTTTGGCCCACACCTCCATAGGCTTCGGACAGGGCCACGCCCCCCGGAGTCCTTTAACGGACCACCCTTCGCTCACTGGGGGGAGGTGATGGCGTTCCTCCCCCCCCACATCCTCTTAACCCCTTCTTACCAATGCCTACCGCCACACGAGCAATCGCTCGCCGCCAATACTCTCATGCCTGAAACCAATCCCTTACACCCATTGCTATATCAGTCAGCCACATGTCATTTCCCGCATCTGAAAGATGCACGCCATCAAGCCAAATAACATTTCCCGCATCCGAAAGATGCACGCCATCAAGCCGGTAGAGGGCCTCACAGTTGCCCGGGTGGTCAATGACCCACCCACCCAGGGCTGCCACTCTACGCACCACCGCCCGATCCAAGGCTTTCCTAGCCCTATTTGTGGCTATCGGGCACCTGCTCTTTCTCCAAACCCGGCTTTCCATCAACAAGGCCCAAAGAATGGTGATGTTTGGATAAGAGGCCTTAAGTTCCTCAAAGTCACTAAAGAGATGCCACATCAAGTCAACTGCCTTTCTGTAAGCTAAATCCTTTTCGCCAAACTGGATAACTAAAGCATCCGGGGGGCCCACCACTGCCGCTCTGGCCCTAATTGCGGGCAACAATCCGGCCCAGCGCATTCCCCTCCGAGAGATCCAAGACATATTGATGTAGTTAAGGTGCGGCCCGAGACCGGAATTGATGGCGCGGACCCTGGCCCAATGCACAATGCTGTGTCCGATTATCCAGATGCGCGCCCTCATAGCTCCTGCACCCTAGGGTCCCCGTTAACGGCATGGTTTCTATCCCAGTGGACAGTGCAGGGCCTATAATCCAAATGTGCACCACAACATCACCTGAAAGCAAAAGAAGGTAACGAAGCCAGGTCAAGTATACTGTGAACAATCACAAAGTCTTACGAATATATCCCTTAAATGCATCAGACTTTCACTGCCCCCAAGTCCTTCATCCTTTCAGCTGAGAGTCCCAAATGCAGTGCTGTGGTGACGGCCCCAATCCTAAAGGAGTTAGCCACGAATTCAGCTGAGGATAAACTGCAGGCAGCAATCTCCCTTCGCATAATGCGCGTGGACTGATGCCGTGCAAGGCGGGAGCTATCCAAGTGTATAAGGGATGGACCTGAGACGGATGGTCTCACGTACATGAAATGTTTAGCGTCCTTTACTGCTGATCGGTTCTGGAACATTGGTCATGCAGGGCTAACGGGATGGGAAAACGGGATGCTGGAAAACGGGATGCTTGAGGGAAAACGGGATGCTGGACAAAGTAAGCCTTTGGTCTAATCTGCCAAGGGTTCTGCCAGGGTTCTTCTTATGTTCTTAACCTTGTTTCCAGAGAATTTCTTACCATTCAAAATGCCTTGCTCCATCTTTGTCACTTCCATATCAAGATCCTGCTCACTCGATATATTTGACGATTCTGTATGTAAACACAGAAACAAAAGACTGTTAAGCAGAAAATAAGTATCCCTCATTCTTCCAAGCCACATTCAGGATAAGGGACGGATTACACGTCTGAAGAAATTAGTGTGTCTGAATATCAGTGACACCCTCCCTTTCCCAACCAAAACTAGGGGGCTGCGATATTCCAGAATGTGCTAAGAGGGGAAGGTTCAGTTGGGGAATGTTTAACTATTGAGCTACTGTGAGGAAAGCAAAAAATATGTTTTGATAGAAAGGAACCTTGGGGTTTAGGCTTTGTTTTTCAGGATAGTTGGAGAGGTAGAAAAAGCAGATGGGCAAAAGCTTAAGCAGACCCTAGGGTAATGAGGAGCTCCACATCATTCATCACAAAGCATGTTAAGAAACTGAGGGGTGCGTGAGTGCTTTTTCATAGGATGAATCAGAATAAATGCTGTTCCTTGTTGCACTATAAACCAGTATTGTATGTGGACCAAATGGTCTGAGAAGCTTCAGTATTTTCATTTTAATGGCTGTTCCTAGACCTTGAGGCTTCTGAGAAGAATGAAGGCAGTGTTATGGCTTATATTTAGACATTACAAAGGGTTGCAAACAGTTCTGGAACATCAGTAAAGAGCAAGGACTCATCCACACATCCTTTTGTCCTGCTGCTTCTCCCCCCAGGGAAAACCGCTCTTTAGTGCTCAGTCAGAGCAAACGACAATTGGAGTTTTCTCTGGGTTGATGTTTGCTCTGATTTAGCTCTTAATGGCAGGTTTTCTCTTGGGAAAGGAGTGGCGCAAGGGGGAAATTGCTCAGACCTGTGCCTAGAAACTGCAGGTCAAGTGGAAAATCACTTGGACCGATGCTTTCTAGGCACGGGTCAAGCGGAAGTGTAGACCTAACCCTTAATTAGCATTTGTCAATAGTTACTGGTACACTACAGGACATACCTTCTGAGTCTTTGCTGCCACTCAGCATAGAAAACAGCACATTGATTGGAATTCCTGGCCCATTCTTTTCCAAAGTGTCTGGGGAACAACTTATCTGTTGGTTTGGGTACGCTGTAGGAGAAGAGCAAGCTAAGAGAAAGACCTTCAGAATTAACAACTATAAAATTTTATGGCTCAGGCTCCTATGCAGTTGTTCATCCTCTCAAGGTTGAAAAGCTCTCTCTCTCTCTCCTCCCCCCTCCTCACAAGCATGTGAGCACACAAACACACACAATTTGGGTTTTCTCTGGACTTACGCTTGCTCTGATTTAAAGCTAAAGAGCAGGGCTTCTTGGGGAAAGGAGTGGGGCATGGAGAAAATCACCTGGATCCATGCTTTCTCTGCACAGGACAAGCAGAAGTGTGGACAGCCCTAGGTGAAGAAGTCCCATATCATGCTACCTTTCCTGATAGGGGAATTGTTCCATCCCCTCCATCATTTTGGTTGCCCTCTTCTGAACCTTTTCTAAGTCTACAATACCCTTTTTGAGGCAAGGCAACCAAACTGTACACACTATTCCTAATGTGGTCATATACTAGATTTGTATGATGGCATACAGTTTTATTTTCAGTTTCTTTCCTAATCTTCCATGGCACGGAATTTGCCTTTTCCACTGCTTCTACACAGTCAGTTGATGTCTTCATTATCTACTACCGCCCCAGCTTCCTGTTCCTGGTTAGTCACTATCAGTTCACACCTCATTAGTGTATTTGTGAAATTAAGATGCACGCAAGGCAGATTCCGACATGCACTCCAACTCCCACTGGCTAATGGTGAGGGGGTAATAGGAATTGTAGCCCAGAAACATATTGAAGAGTACAGGTTCCCCATCCTTGAGCTAGCACATTGGTGAACAGAATTTATTTACCGTATTCTCCTCTCCAGCAGAACCAGCTCAATTCAGACTTAACATTAAGACATAAAATGTTGAGAATAAAGCAGAGAAGGGCATTTCTCTTTGCTTCTTCCCACATTATCATGATCTCTTCCAGGGAATTTTGGTTGGCTTTCCTTAAGAAACCCTAGACCTCCCATGGAGAAGCAGACCTGGGGCCAAAGCAAGGAAGGGCCAAATTAAGTAGTCCAAAGTTGTTGCTGAAAGAGGGGAAGTGGGAAAGGTAGAGGATGCCCCTGGACTTGCAGAAATTTTGGCGCTTCCCTGAATGTCGATGAATAAGTTGCAATAAAGGAAGTTCCATATCCTGCCGTCAATGACAAAAAGCAGGGAAAGCTGAAAACAACAATTTGGAACACACACAAAAATGGCCTAAAAGTGAAAATAAGAAAATATATCTTAAGCAATTCAGTATTATGCAAAAGAGAAAAAACCCCAAAGATGACAAATTGGGTCCATTGTTCAAAATGATGACATTTCAGAGGAAAGAATATCACAAATATTTCATCAGTGGCAACTAGAAATGCAAGTGTTGCTCAAATGTATCAAGGGGAAGTTGGTTCTGCTGGGGTCATTGTAACACACACTGGAGAGGTCAGATCCTTTCTGCTTTTTTTAAACATCCCAAAGTATGCTTAACCCTGGAAGTGCATGATGAAATTGAATTTGCTCACCTTCCTCTCTCTTGTCATCTCTTCTTCTGCCAGTATTTAGTTTATAAACTCCTCAGGGCAGAAAGCTGACTTTTCTACTTACGTTAGTATGTAAATATCTAATTCATAGCACTGTATAAAATATTATTAATTTCCTTAAGTATATTCACTCCAGAAGAAGCAGCAAGAGCCCCCCACATGTAATCACTCTGCTCTGGGTTGTTGTTTTTGTGGGGGGGGGGGAGGACGCTCAATGTTTATTACTTTTTAAAAAGAATATTCTAGACCTCATGACAGAGATGAATTTCTTACATCTTTTTTTCAAGCTCTCTGGAAACAAGCCACCCAAAATCAACTAGCCGGTGCAATGTTGTCATTTCATTTTGTTCCAATCTGGGTGTTATGCTTCCTGGGATAAACAAGCATGAATTCATTCCCTGGCATAACTGTAGTTCAGTGTTCTTTTTCCATCATAATTTTCTGTTTTGAACAAAGTTGCCTCCTGCCTGATCATATGAATGAACTAATAACTATTATCAATGCAAGGACCGAAATTACTACGCACTCAAGAAATGACTAAAAATAAATTGAACTAAATGAAAAAATAAATATATATAGAAGATGGCACTTCAAATTTGGAGCCAGCCAGACATGCAAGTTCAGATGAAGGCACATGAGGGTAGCGGGGAATAATGCTCTTGCATTGGGATCCTGGTCAGTGGCTTCCTTGCCAGCAGTAGGAGACATGTTGGTCCCACTATTCCATATTTGTAAATAATATTACTGACACCACAAGCCTCCTGTGCAACATGCTTACTCACCCAAAAGAAACAACATGCAGCAGTGCTGCTATGGGGACAATGGAGTGCTGAGCAATACTTTCACATTGCACGCAAAATAGGAAGCATATTTGTGTCACTGGGTTCAAAATGGAAAATTTCTGCTTGTGCTGCTGCTTCTTGCCGTGCTGAGTCACCAAAAAGAAAGGAAAACAGCTGCCCCGGAGAAATCAAAACGCAGAGGAACTAGATTAAATTACCCAATGCTACCAGCCCAAGGGGTATATGAGATTTTGGGAAACTTGTTCCTAGTGCTTACGTACACCAGACACACCTCGCTCCCATTTCCTCCAGAATCTCCAGGGTCGGATAGGGTGGGTCACAGGTTCCCCCAGCTCTAAAATCTGCTGCTTGCCTTAAAGCATGGGTGGGCAAACTAAGGCCCCGGGGGCCGGATCCGGCCCAATCGCCTTCTAAATCCAGCCTGCGGACGGTCTGGGAATCAGCATGTTTTTACATGAATAGAATGTGCTTGTCAGGGAGCTGCCATCAGTACTGGAGGGGGAGCGCAAAAGTCAGAGGGATTCCAGAGAG